AGAATACAGAGTGTCACTATCCCTATTCATCTTGTGGGTGTCGTAAGACTAAGGAAGCCAACTACGCAGGAAAACAGCATTGCAAAGAGAAGGAGTTTTCAATAAACCCTATACCAACACGTCGGGCCAGCGTGGTATAGTAGGCCAAACCCTCCTTACTGAGGAGAGGTCTATGTAAAGCAGTGAACTACCAAAGGCTGTTGATTAGATTAGATTTAGATTAGTGACGACGATTATATAGTTCTATTAAATAAACCTTAGCCATTTAACTATTTTCATGTTGAGTAATAAAAACTTCAAACTGTGTTTATTCAAATCCATTTTATTAGTTGCCTAAAAGTTTTATTGTTGTTTTAATGGTCCGATACTCAAACTGAGAGAACCCTAATCGGATCATTTCGCTTTCGCTCTGTCTCTCTTTCAAGGTATTCTCAGGAATTCTTGGAAGTATAAAATTTAACTCAAATACTTTAGTTGAAAAGTTAAGTTTAAAGCTTATACATGTTTACATAAAATATATAAATAATAATATAAATGTAATTAATATGTATATATAATTGAATAAAGAGAATAATAATATATCGCTTTTATGTACACCAGGTATAAATATACAATAAATAACTTAAATTAGGTTAGACAATGAGAGAAGCGAGAATGAAAGAGAAGGAAAACTTGAAACAACGATATATATATACGAACCCGTCTCTCCAGCGTGGTATAGTAGGCCAAAGCCTCCTTTTTAAGGAGAAGCCTATGTCCAGCAGTGGGCTATTAAAGGCTGTTGATAATGATGATAATGAGGTTAGACAAGTACAAGGCAATCTCTTACAGGCAACCGTGGTATGGAGAGAAAACATTAAGGGGAAGAAGAGGTATAGGGTAATGGCTGGTGTGTTAGGAAATAGATAAAAAGAGGAAATACATACTCGTATGTATATATAAAAGATAGTGATAGTTACACATAGTATATATTTGTTGTACTTTGGTGAGTATATAATATAAAATACATTTTTTTTTTTTCATTGGTCCATTTAGTTATAACGCATTAGAGTTCATAAAATAATATCACAACGCCATCTAGTTTCAAGCAAAGCAGAGCTGTTTTATGAAAGTTAGATTGACTGAAAGAATACTTTTATACTTTTTTTTGTAAATACATACATATTATACATAGAAGGTACCTAAACTCCTAAACAAATATTTGCAGATCATACAAACATTTGGTCCGACCCGGATATCGAACTAGATATCTCAGTATAGCAGTAGCATACGCTTCCATTGTACCACCGTAGACGTAGACTCCTCATAGTAGACTCATAGTAGACTCCGTAAGACGTATTTATTTTCTTCATATATACACAAAGTATGAATATTGGACTCTATAGTATTTAAAATAATGTTGAAAATCTCAACTTCAATTCAAATCTCAATTCATAGTTAAGTTACTAAAAATCATACAAAAATAAAATGGTTCGTCATTCTATTGTTTATGCTCTTATCAACTCTATGGTTTAATTTGTGGTGTTTACGTTCATAACTGATATGATTTCCTTTACAATATTGTGGGAAAGAGTTATCAGATAGCAGTCCGAATTGCATACTATTGTTGACAAAAGATATGTTTGTATATTTACAGACGAAATTTGATTGCACGGATCTCGCTGAGTGTTGTACGTTCCCCACATGGGACAACACTTTGTGTGATTAACAAATTATTGCTCTAAGTCTGGGTGTACTTTATGCCCCTTTTAAGAATGTTTGTAAAGACCCCCACGACACAGGATATATTCGAAGTAAAGGTGTTGTCTTTTGAACCAAAAAAAAATTATGAACTGCGTCAGTATAGTTTAAAAAAGTATCACCAACTTCAAACATACACCTATGTTTTTATTCCTCAAGAGGATCAGAGAGTATTGCTTTGGTATGTAGGGCCAGATTGATCGAATTGATACTAGGGCCTCTCAGAAAACTGGTGTTAAGGCAGTCTTTCGTGGCTCTTCACCGAGTAAATGTGGTAACCAGAGCAAAAACGGTTCCCCTGGTTATGGGGAGAGGGACTGAATGGGCGGGAACGCAATTGTGACCAACTTAATAATAATAATATTTTCACACATTTCACACGGCCGTCTGATTCTAAACTAGGCCGAGCCTGTACTATGGTAACCAGACTGCTGATAAACATACATGTATATTTCTAAATACATACATCTTATAAATAAGATTCACCCAGACACAGAACAAATGACCGTGCTCATCACACAGTTATTTGTCCTGGGTGGGAATCGAACCCACGACCTCTGGCTTAGCAGTCAGAATTGCTAAACTGGAGGTCATGTGTCATGGTGACACTTGAATATATTACAAAGAGCTTGAATATGCTATGGAAGTCTCCGAAAAAGATGCAAGCCTACGTCATCAGCTTATCGCCATGTTTGCTGAACGAAGATCACCAACCAACCACCACCAACCATTTCTTGGCATGCGTATAATAATTATTACTTATTTTTTAAGTTATATCAACAAGATACCAATAATAAAATTATAATTCGACTTAATTAGAAACTTACCTCCTCGAAATCAAATAAAATTATACACTGCTATCAGCATGGTAATTCGTGATATCCTGTTAAGTGAGCTGTTAATGCATAATCTTATTACCTTTTGCGCGCCATTGTCATGGCGGAATCTACTGAACCAATATTGTAATTATACACATTTGTTGCATGTACTACCTACCTACCATATTTTGATTTTGGCGACATGTTAGACGATTATTCGACACACATCTCCTCGAGCGATAACTTACCTTATGTCAAAAAAAAACATATTTTTTTTTAAAGCTACTCCCGCATTAGGAATTTATCCTGTGTCGCGGGGGACTTTACATGAAACGGACACAAAGAACACCCAGACTTAGAACATCCATATATGGATCACACAAAGTGTCGTCCAATATGGGGATCGGACCCAGAACACTCAGCGTAGTTTTAAGCGGCGTGGCGACTGCTTAAACAACGCTTCTATAAAATCGATTAGTCCATCAATCAATATCCATATCCATATTTCCCGTCTCAAATTACCCAAATTCCCAAGTGACAGCTAAAGATTTGAATTATTACTTGGGATCAAGTTATGTTGTATAATATAGTTATATAATAGTTATAAGCAATGTAATATAACGCTACGAGTTTTAGGACAAGAGCAGTCATAAAAACGTAGGCGTAATTCTCCGTGTGGTGACGGATTGGAGTGTTACCAACCCTATTCATCCCGTGGGTTTCGTAAGAGTCGACTAAGGGAGCATACTACGCAGAGCAACAGGACTGCATAGAGAAGAAAAACTTGATACAAACCCTATACCAACCCGTCCGGCCAGCGTGGTCTAGTAGGCCAAACCTCCTTTCTAAAGAGACGCATATGTCCAGACAATAGACTACTAAAGGCTGTTAATACCGATGAGGGATTAAATTATAATTAAATTTTAGTTCCACTCCTACCCTACCTCACATCCCACCTGTGATCTTTATTTCAACTAGACTTTCTTTTAAAATCATGAAAAGTATTATAATGTACCTTCAAATATTTATATTGTACAAAAAAAACTGTTTTACTGATAACGATTTAGACATTCACACATTTTTGGTGACCACCGATAAATTGACCGCGACTTCCTCCCTGCCTACAAGCACTCAAGTTGCACACGATGTTCTCACCACAATTTCGAGAGCAAAATCTAAGTATAAATACACGGAGAAATGCTATGGTGGTCATTCACGAGCCGTGGTAAACACGGCTTGGTAGAAAAACTTTATTTTTTATTATTTCTTTTTTTGTTTTCTTTTTTGTTGTTGGAAAAATCTTGTGGTGAGTATTTGCTTATTTGATTTAGATTTGTTTATTCTGTGTATTTTTGTCCAGACTGTCTGAACTTAATAAAATCAGTGTTTGCAATTGCAATGGTTGAATAATTTCCGACTACATTGTCTGATCTTACTTATTTACTTATATTTACTTTATTATAATTGCACGGTTCTTTTAATTATTAGTATGTTGTTAAAACATCACAAGCTGTTTAGATATATAACTGCGAAAACATGTAAATGGTGGATAGTGTTAACACATGTTGTATCCTTTGTTATATGCACTGTATGTTTTCCGAACAAAATAAAATAAAATAAAATAAATAAAAATAAAATATTTACCTATGTTTATATGAATTTTACATAAACACATTAAGTTACTGCAGATTTATTTATTTCATGTATTTTATATTTGTATTTCAGTATAACTTGTTATTTATATGAATCTTTTGCCTGCGGCTCCGCCCGTCGCTTGTCGGTTATCGTGGTAAAAAGTGAAACAGTGAAAGCATTTTCAAAATCGAATCTACTGATTCGATTTTGAAAATGCTTTCACTGTTTCACTGTTCCTGATATTACCCCAAACATACCAACTCACAACCTTTACCTCTTTATAATATTAGTATAGATTATAAAATAAAGTATTTGTTTTCCTTTGGTTTTATTATTTAACAGGCGTGTTGGTCTGGTGGTTAGTGATATTGACTGCTAAATCAGAGGTCGTGGGTTGATGCCCAACCAGTACCAATATTGTGTGATGAACATGATCTTCTGTTCTAGCTCTGGGTGTAATTTTTCTGTAACTAGCTTTTGCCCGCGGCTCCGCTCCCATGTCCTAAAATACTGTAGCCTATGCCCTTTATCAATAATCAAACTATCTCCATACCACATTTCATCTAAATCGGTTTAGCGGTTTTAGAGGTAACAGACAAACAGATAGACAGACAGACACACTTTTCCATTTATAATATTAGTTTGGATATGTATGTATTTAGAAATATATTAATATGTTTATCAGCAGTCTGGTTACCATAGTACAGGCTCTGCCTAATTTGGGATCAGACGGAAGTGTGTAATATGTGTAAGGTTATTATTTTAATTGCTTATTGGCTTTTAATAATATATTTCCAGTAATACAAGATGACCGAAGCAAAGCGAAACCTACTGTTATTCTTCGACCGGCCCATAGAGCCGTGTTTCATGCAGAAGGGAGAAGAACAGGCCGTGTTCGAGTTACCTGATAATTATTACGTAAGTTGACATTTGCCATAACGTAGATCTGTCAAGGGTGTAGACCATTTTTGACCATCGACAATCCTGGAATTGAGTTTTTTGTCATAATTACTTTAAACTTTTGCGTGCTTTCATTTATTATTATGTTAATACATACCTTTGAAACAAGCGTGTGGTGATGGATTAAAAATAGTAAGTGTCACCTCCCCTATTCGTTCTGTGGGTGTCGTAAGAGCCGACTTAAGGAGCAAACTAAGCAGGACAATAGCACTGCAAAGAGAAGGAAAACTTGAAACAAACCCTATACCAACCCGTCTGGCCAGCGTGGCACAGTAGGCCAAAACCTCCTGTCTAAAGAGGGGCCTATGTCCAGTAGTGGACAACTAAAGGTTGATGATGATGATACCTTTGAATGTGAACACCCATGGACTGGAATTTTGAAAACTAGGTGAATAGAGAAAGTAATATTGCTTATACGAGTGAATTAGGGAGTTTGACCAATAGTTCGAGCAGGTCAAGTTTACTTGCCTGTACCTCGAACTGGCAATTATCGTGAAATGCAGGTGTTCATATTATACAGCGACTTATTAATAGATGCTTTATTTTTCAGCCCGAAAAATACAAGTTCGCATCGAATGTGATCGCAAACCGTTTCGGAAACGATGCTAATAAAACGATTCCAGTCCGCAATATTGCGCTGCCGAACTTGTCTCTACCCATGCAACTGCCTTACAACGGTCAGTTCTCGTTGTTTATACCGAAACACCGACAGATGGCGGGACGGCTCATCGATATTTTCATGGGTAAGAAGCAATAATATCACTGGGCATTTTTTTCTTTTTGTTTGTTTGTACTTATCCATTCCAGATTTAATTTAATTTGTATCAACCCTAATTTTATAGATTTTTGCATACTTAATTATAAGGCAGAATGTACACGGTTCAATGAAAACTATTCCATCTGTAATTTGATGTACCGACATTCATAGCAAATAAACTTTGATTTGATTTCATATGATTTGATCATCACTTACAATCTTTAAATTTGACTACAATCATCTGCTTATTTTCTGCCCAAATTGATTTGGGGTCAGTGCAATGAGTTTGTTTTTTCGTTTCTCCTCTATTACTCGCTAGTTCACTGCCCACTCCTTTTCGAGCCATGTCCTCTTTCACGCACTCCATACATCTTTTTTTGACAAAATTCGTCAGAATTTACTACCTCAAATAACTTCCCCGTATAGTTTGCCTTTTTAGCTTCCCAACTTTTCAATCGAAATGCATGGATCTTGGTTACAGGTGAAACAAATGCGTTGTACCCGTGACGACAATTCTATTCTAATCCATTATCCATTCTTTTGATCCAGTCAGATTTAGTCATTCACTCCTAACTTGCAGGAATGCGTGATGTGGAAGACCTGACATCGATCTGTTCTTTCTGCCAGCTGCGCATCAACCCTTACATGTTCAACTACTGCCTTTCCGTCGCCATATTGCACAGGTACAAAAGAATCTGTTAGCTTAATTGGTAGGGATCCTGACTCAGAGATCGTATGATTGATGTATCGTTTCAAAATCAGTCACCATTATAAATATATTGTAGAAGATAAAAATGTCACAAACAATAATATTAAACAGGATTTTGAAATTTGCAGGCCGGACACCAAGGGCGTCGATATCCCGACCTTTGCTCAAACATTCCCGGATAAGTTCGTGGACCCTAAAGTTTTTCGCAAAGCTCGAGAAGTCACAAATGTAGTACCAAATGGATCTAGGGTAAGAGCATAATAATTGATTGTAAATGTTTTACAATATAAGGCTTATTTTTATTATGAAGGATTTTCAACGATTTAGGAGAGTTACAGTGACGTTTCATTAGTCGTTTAAAACAATCGCTAATATGGGTACCAAGACGAGATAGAGAGATAGAGTGAGAGATAGAGATGTTATTTCTTGATCTTCTAATCTATTCTTTCTGAAAGTGCCTATGGAGTGACACTACGGAACGGACACTAGAATCCTAATATTAAGCAATTCTTTCGTTGGCTTTAAACAAGCAAGTGAGATTACTGGAGACCAACTCCATGACCCCCCACCTCCCGCTACTCCTCCCCCCTTCATTTGGGGTGGCACTCAAGGGGCACAAGAGTGTCGCCACATTTGTCTCTTGCTTTGTAGATGTCCATGGGCGGCAGTAGTCACTTAACATCAGATCAGACCGGTCTGATCCTTTGACCCATTATAATAAAAATCCTTTCTAGAATTAATCTTTGGAAGCATTCATAAATGTTAAATAAAATTTAAGATGCTAGTTGTCAACCCAAGTGTTTATTTTGCTGAAGATCTTTGAACTCTTTTTCCTTATCACAGTCATCTATACAAATAAATAAAATTGGAGTGTCTGTTTGTAATATTTAACCGCTTTTTACTAAATGCATATGTATGTTTACACGGTACATATGCCAAATTAACATTTTTTTTTCAATTTTTGTCTGTCTGTCTGTCTGTTTGTTCCGGGTAATCTCTGGAACGGCTGAACCGATTTCGACGGGACTTTCACTGACAGATAGCTGATGACATAAGGAGTAACTTAGGCTACTTTTTTTAGACTAGCTTCGCCCCGCGGCGTTCAATCGCGCGCGGCAATAAACGCGGGTAACACCACGGGTCTCAGCTAGTTCTATTATATATTATCTTACCCTAAGCGATCCGATAAATGTATTTATATATAAACAGATGCCGATACCAATCAACGTAAATTACACCGCATCAGACTTGGAGCCAGAACAGCGCGTGGCATACTTCCGCGAAGACATTGGTGTTAACCTCCACCACTGGCACTGGCATCTGGTATACCCCGGCGAAGCTGCTGATCCGGCGATCGTCAACAAGGATCGTAGAGGCGAGCTGTTCTATTACATGCACCAACAGATTATCTGCAGGTAATACTTTAACCAAGAGTTCTTAGTTCCTCGTGTCACCATGAGAAATATTCAAAGACGTTCGTGGGACAATTATGCTTCGGTACATTTGGGTCATTCAACCAATCTATGGAACAAGTTACCGCCTGCAGTATTTCCGGACTGATATAGCCTTCAAATCTTCTAGAAGAGCGTACTCTTTCCTAGAAGGCCGTCAACGCACTTGAGACTCCTGAGTTGCAGGCGTTCATGGTCAGCGATTGTCACTTTCCATCAGGTGACCCGTCTCCTCGTTTGTCCTCTCTTCCATAAAAAAAAAGAGTGAGGTTACCCGAACCTCCCCCTCTAACTCGGAGGCTGATACTCAAAAGGCAGCAAATCATTAGTGCCTTACATCAGGTGACTTGTCTGTCATCTACCCCTTATACCATAATAAAGTCTTAAAAACATATATTTTTCATAGATTCAACGCTGAACGTTATTGCAATGGATTGAGCCGCGTGCGTCGCTACAATGACTTCCGGCAACCTATTGAAGAGGGCTACTTCCCCAAACTGGATTCCCAGGTTGCTAGCAGAGCTTGGCCTCCTAGGTAATGCTTTTTTTTGATAAGTACAGACTTAAGGACTAATACAAAAGAGGTGTAATGATTCCATACTGTGTAACATTTCATGTTTCGCTTTTAAAAAGATCTTCTAAGTATGTAATATATTAGTTTAAATTCCAACTCCAGATCCAAATATTTGGATGCATAATTATGGTTATTAATCGGTAATATTTAGGTATAATACGTGTGTAAATTGAAATAATCAAAGAATGTGTCTGAGTTTTATAATCCCACAGCAAACTGGACGTGACGGATTAGTAATAGGGAGTGTCACCACACCTATTCATCCCGTGGGTGTCGTAAGAGCCGACTAAGGGAGCAAATTACGCAGGACAACAGCACTGCAAAGAGAAGGAATGATGGATGATAATGTTTATTAATTACTCGGTTATATTTAGGTATAATACGTGTGTAAATTGAAATAATCAAAGAATGTGTCTGAGTTTTATAATCCCAGAGCAAGCTGGAAGTTTATTCCATCAAATAAAAGACTTGTCCAAATCGGTTCAGGCATAAAAGATTTCTCAGGTAATAAGCATAAAAAAAGCAAAAAAGAACATGTAACACAATTCAGAATCTTTTTTGTAAGTCTGTTAAAAAGTGGCACATGACATGGTCTATATACGACAATAATAACCGAAAGATAGTGTTTGGTTAATGATCTCTCACTCCTCATAGGTGCTTCATTTTGGTTAGCTCTTAATATCTGAATACCTCTGGAGAGGCCTATGTCCAGCAGTGGACTAGTATAGGCTGTTGATGATGATGATGATGATCTGAATAATCTATGATGTTGCAGATTTTCTGGCACCACAATCCGAGACCTGGAGCGTCCAGTAGATTTGATCAAAATTGACGTGTCCCAATTGGAAACCATGAGAGATCGTTTCGTACAAGCTATTGAAACTCTTTCTGTAACCTTGGTTAGTATATTTAATCATCATCCTCCGAGCCTTTTACTAAACTAGGTTCTGGTCAACTTTCAGTCTAATACTACTACTGCCATCAGACAGATGGATATCGAACTTCTGTAGATAGCCTGACATAAGCTATCTAGTAGGTTATTACTAGGTTTTCATAAATATCCTGCAAAAAACACATTTATGGTTGCTTGTGCATCCTGTTTCATAAAAAAGCGACGGGTTGCACTCCGGGAGTGCCGGCAGAAGTGAAAACTTGAATATTAACGTTGAGCATTTTTGATATTTTGGAATGGTTAGGAAATAATTTTGCACGAATTGCTTTTATTATCAGTATAAAAGTACTATCATTTATGTGGTAGTATATAATATTTATTTATTGCGCTATCGTACACAAACATGACAATTTATCGAGACGCTGTCACCATCCATGGATGCGCGTGGCACGCTGTAACATAAACACACACGAACATTCGCGCAAGCGCCCTGCGCCGCCTAAACGAAACGCCGCGCCGTAGAAAGAGAGGGGGATACTTCCTCTCCTACGCCGCGCCGGCTGTCTACTCTCCATCCGTCTTACGAATTTTCGATCAGGTCACGTGACCTGTCGCGAGTTTAACATTTTTTACTCATTACAAAAAAAGTGTACAACGCAGCTAAAGAAGTTTTCACTTCAAAAAATGAAAAATGAAAGAAAATTTATCGTTAAAACTTAACAGATTCTTTAGTAATACTATTTATGCAAGAATATGCTCGAAAACTCGAAGAACAATATGCTTTATTCTGTCATCTGAAATTCTCATCATTGCCTTTCAGCCCAACGGTCGTCAGGTAACTTTGGATGAGGAGACTGGTATTGATACCCTGGGCAACATGATGGAGTCGACAATCCTCAGCCCTAACCGTAATTACTACGGAGACTTCCACAACATGGGCCACGTGTTCATCTCCTTCGCACACGACCCTGATCATAGACACTTGGTATGTAGTAACAGCAATTTAGACATGTTTGTTGTACTTTGTCTATAGTGGGGTCCATAGTACAAGAGCCACATGTGCCAATGCGGCATAATATTACCGGATACTCAAGAACCCACCCCCCTTTCCCTTCTTCTTTCAGGCTCAGAGAGGCACCGTGTAGTTTTAGTCGGTTCGATTCCAACTTGCCGCCTCACTGCCAACTCCTGTCGGGTGTCGGCTAGAGGGGGTTTCAACAAGTAACAAAAGACTTAGAATCAGGGGGAGAGCCCCTGTTCCCACACGGGGGGGTCGTCTACCTGTTGTTTTAGATGGCCTAAGGTATGTCGGGGCACCAGGGATTTCCTTTTTAGGGTATGCCTGGTTCCCCGGCTATTAGTACCCAAGACTGCGTGTGGTTATAGTCGGTTCGAGTCCGACATGCCACCGATAGGTTGTATCCGAGGGTATTTCCGCACGGAACAAAAAAAAAGCGGGAGGGCCCCTGATTCTAAGGACTCAAAGGAGACTAGAGTAGTTGATGGTAAGTTACCATCAGGTGACCCGTCGGTTCATTTCGTTTCATAACCTACAAACTAATATTTATATGAGATCTTGTCCGTGTGATGACGGATACACCGTCCATACGGAATGTCACCACCCCTATTCATCACGTGGGTGTCGTAAGAGCCGACTAAGGGAGTAAACTACACGAACAACAACACTGCAAAGAGAAGGAAAACTTGAAACAAACCCTATATCAACCCGTCTGGCCAGCGTGGTATAGTAGGCCAAAACCTCCTTTCTAAGGAGAGGCCTATGTCCAGCAATGGACTGTTATAGGCTGTTGTTGCTGATGATGATCATGATATTAGATCTTCACAATTCATGGTAAATAACAATTATCTTCCTAATTCAGGAACAATTCGGAGTTATGGGAGACTCAGCAACTGCTATGCGTGATCCCGTCTTCTACCGCTGGCATTCGTACATCGATGACCTGTTCCAGCTGTACAAGTATAAACTGACTCCGTACGGTAATGACAAGGTAACGATATAGCATGGAGAGAAATAATAGTGACATTAATTCAAATGCTAGAGTCAAGAAATTCAAAACTAAAATCGTGGGAGACCCATGCTCGAGCTGGTTCGAACAGACTGATAACACGATCCCACAGAACACCTGTGTTAAACAATTTTTTTGTTGCTCTTCAGGGAATGAGTAAGGTTACCAAGACTGCCCTCCCTCTGTTTTTTTTTTTTTTATTAAACACAAAGTAAACACATTCTTTTCCTGGAGACACATTATTGTTTAAACATTATAAAATGTATTAATCTAACGGTAGTGAGAACTGTTTTCCCAACTAGGCTATTGATTGTATGATAGTAGACAGCGTTCAGTCGGAGACGGATTCTGGAGAGGGGAGGGCTCAACACAACTCCCTTCTGACTCTAGAGTCGCAGGGCGTAGCATGGACGGTGGTAGTCACTTGCTACCAAGTGACACGTATGCTCGTTCACCTACCTATATCATAAAAAATACTCGTCTGAGTACCTAAAACAGTTTTTTCATCCCTCAGAAGTAAAACTAAGGGGATTCTGTAAGGTTTAGTCAGGGTACTATAATATCACGTGGAGATTTTTGTCCTTTTCTTTAATGGACAGCTATCTATTTTTCTTAAAGAATTATAGAATACACCGTCTTTCATTGTAGTTGTTGGGTTGTGTGGGTTAATCTGAATGTTACAATATTATCTATCATGTTAATACGTATAAAAATTTACCCGACTCTGTTGAAAAATTAATTTAATTAGAAAGCAGTTTATGGAAAGCACTGATAACACAAAAAAAATATTTTAGCTGGACTTCCCAGGAATCCGCGTGTCAGGTATCAGCGTTGAAGGGACAGCAGGCACCAATACCTTCGGAACACGTTGGGAAGAGAGTACCGTTGAATTAGGGCGAGGTCTGGACTTCACACCCCGAGGCTCCGTGCTGGCTAAATACACCCATTTGCAGCATGAGGATTTCACCTACGTGTAAGTAGTGTAATCCCTGTAGTGACGGATTATCAATACAGAGGGTCACCACCCCTGTTCATCCCATTGGTGTCATAAGAGCCGACTAAGGGAGCAAACTACGCAGGACAACAGCACTGCAAAGAAACATCCAAAACAAGCCCTATACCAACTCGGCCCGTGGGCGAGGTATAGTAGGCCAAAACCTCCTTTTTTGGAAGAGGCCTATATCCAACAGTGGACTATCTAATCCAAGCAGCTATCATGGCTATAAATGATGATGAAGTAGTTTATGGTAGAATAATCGTTAGACGACTGCTGGGATGATCAATACAGAAACGAAGACACTGACACACAGACAACTGATCTACTTAAAACTGTTTGAGGGAGGCCTATGTTCGGGGACGGACCCGTGCTTCACCGAGGTTCCTAACCGGAGTGAAGTACGGGGACTATTTAGGGTCCCGTACTCCAACTGATGAGGTTATTGTTCAGTGATGCAGTAAATTGTTTTCCCTATATGATGCAAAAGATCTAAACAATTATTTAGTAGGAGCGAATATATATTATTTATTTATATATTTTTTAGTTATTTTTTACACGAAAGGCACAGTACAAATAACGAAACAAAGAGTTGGACCTCCAAACACAACAAAGATTTCAAAAAAACCATATATGTTGCCCTAAATACCAATTCTTTAGACTTTCCGAGACTTAATGACGCTGCAAAGAACACCATGAAAAAGACCATTTTGTTTTAGATTCGCAAATGCAATTAACGAATAATGCATTTTCTTTAAGCCATCTTTTGGAAAAAATGCGTTTAAATAAATCCTATTGATTATATTTTACATCATTAATTTCTCTTCATATTTTGACTACTGTTTCATCTACTGACCATTTATAGTCCCCGTGCTTCACCCAGGTGAAGCACGGGTCCCCCCTCCCCCTATGTTCATCGCTTGACTGTAGTCTATGGTAATTTGTTTTGTAATTCTATTCCTTCTTCTTGTATTTATCTTTTCCTTAATAAAAAATTCTAATTTTTATTTCTTAACTCATATAATTTTATGATTACAATACCTTATTTCCAGGATTGATGTCATGAACACAACAGGTCGAGGTGTTATGGCAACTGTCCGTATATTCATGGCGCCAATCCAGAATGAAAAGGGACAACCTCTGCCGTTTGATGAACAGAGGAAATCCATGATTGAATTGGACAAATTCACTACTTCATGTAAGTTTTTTTTTAAATCATTTATTAAATCAGGGTTAGTAATTCGGTATGTTGATCGTTCAACGCTACAAAATTCAAATTTCTAATATTTAGACAATTGCCACTCAACAATGCGGTAACTAGCGTAATAAACTGTCGTCGCCGGTATTACCAGACTGATATGAATATTAAGATTCTGCATGGGCAACACTAGTTACTAACCATCAAATGACACGCCTGCTAGTTTTGAGACTATTAACTAAACTTGTGACGGATTAAGAATACAGAGTGTCACCACCCCTATTCATCCCGTGGATGTCGTAAGAAGCGACTACAACACTACACACAACTGGAAACAAACTGAGCAGGACTATTGTCCTGCGTAGTTTGTTCGCAGTTGTGTATAGTAGAGAGAAGGCAAACTTGTAACAACCCCTATACCAACCCGTCTGGCCAGCGTGGTATAGTAGGCCAAAACCTCCTTTCTAAGGAGAGGCCTATGTCCAGCAGTGGACTAGTAAAGGCTGTAGATGATGATGATGGTGATGATGATGAACTAAACTTTACTTACCTGTGTTACTTCTTCCATGGTAATCAGAGCATTTTACAGGATAATTTCTAAGCCTAAGTCCTTCTGAGCTACTTATTCTAATTGATTTATTTTTTGTAAATATGTTATTCCTCAGTGAACCGATCCAAACATTAAGTCTCATTAACATGTATAGAGGGTGTAAATAATTATTTATTTTAGGGTTTAAATTTAATGAATTAGTAAAATTTTGAACTTTGAAACCTAATACCTCTGAGGATATTTTAAAAAATCCTTTATAACTTTTATTGGCTGCCATTTAATTTTAAGGACAACTTGTCATTAATTTTACTTACAATTTTTGTGTCTCTAAAGACAAGAATTTTATTTTTAAATTACTTACCATTCGATCACATCACATCAACAGCCTTTAATAGTCCACTGCTGGACATAGGCCTCTCCTTACTTAGAAAGGAAGTTTTGGCCTACTATACCACGCTGACGGGTATAGGGTATGGTATAGGGCTTGTGTCAAGTTTTCCTCCTGTCTGCAGTGCTGTTGTTCTGCGTAGTTTTCACCGATAATTCGATAATTTACTAATATACCTATGATAAACTACACACAGACACAACAAGTGTTCGTGCTCATCAAACATTTATTTATTAACACAACCTCTGTCTCACCAGTTAAGTTTACTTACCAGTAGACCCACGGGTCCGACGAACCCTCAATCCCATCAAACTCGTCAATAACAAGACATTCTCCTACACTTTGTCTACTTACAATGTTTCAGTGAACGCTGGGAACAACACCATTCGTCAACGTAGCGTAGATTCTTCAGTCACTATCCCTTACTCCCGGACCTTCGCAGACCAGGTATGTACCATTAATTAAAATGTTGATTTTTTTGCCAAAGAACGTTATAATCCTACTACGGATAAATACTTCCCTCTCTTGTAACTGACTGATTTCTCCCTCAAACAGAATAGACAGACGGGTAGGCCATACTCTTCTAGTAATTGCATTATCGGACCCATCTTAGCATCCAAGACATGTATTCTTTACGCTATCTTTCTCCTCTTTCATTTTCCTTAGTCCAATTTATTCCGTCTGTCGTCTGGGTCATAAATGAAACCAGCCAAAACTTGTTGCAAATCGTTGTTCATATAAAATTTGTGTTCTGCAGTCAACCCGCCCCGGGGATCCAGGAGCCCCCGAGTCTGCAGAGTTCGACTTCTGTGGCTGTGGGTGGCCGCATCACATGCTCATACCTAAGGGAACCGCGGGAGGATTCCCTGTGGCTCTCTTCGTTATGCTTTCCAACTGGGAACAGGATAGGGTAAGTTATATAACGCTTTTAATGTAGTTTTTCTATTTTACCATAAATATTATTTCTTTTTTTTCTTAGAAGTTTTATAAACAATTTTTTCTTTTTAGAGAAAAATCTTCACAATATTCATCCACCAGGGCTCAGAATTAGATTTAACACTAACAGTTTTTTTTTACAATATTATATTTAAGCGGTATACCGACTTAAAAAACTGATTTCGAACCTTATACCTTCACAGATTGAACAAGATTTAGTTGGAACCTGCAACGACGCAGCATCGTACTGTGGTATCCGCGACCGCAGGTACCCCGACCGTCGCGCCATGGGCTTCCCCTTCGACCGCCCCATCAGTGCCAACTCACTTTCCGACTTCCTCCGACCCAACATGAACGTTAGGCAGTGTACAATTCGTTTCAGAGATGTTACATTGCCCAGGCAGCGGTAGGTCTTTCACAGATTGTGGTAAACGGGGTTTTTTTCTGATGCTGTACAGTAGTGTATGGACAACAAGTGGCATTAGATCTTCTGTAATTTAACAAGCAACGCATAACAGAATTAGGAAATCAAAAAACTTCTAAAACCTGCACATATTCACAAGACTTTTTTGCCTGATTAGAGAAATTAACTTACAAATTCCAAACCACTTACTAGATTTTTATGTTTTTAATCAGTTTTGGTCCTTCAAGCTGACTTTTGAACCTTTTAGTCGAGTGTATTCTTATTACCTCTGTAATATAACCATTATCAAATTGATTGTTTCTATTATTTTTTTTAAGTACTATAAAATAATCTACAACTTCGGTGTGTAGGTCTGAACTTACAATCGTATCTGAATACGATTCCACACGGCGACCACGACATACATGCCCTTGCAACGAATCTTATACACCAGCTGAGATTGATGCCCTTATCAGAAAACCTTACTATTACATTAAATGTAATCATAAACAACATATATTTTAAATGTTACTGCGTATGAAACCCCACATTGGTTCATTTTATTTTCTCTATCTTTCCAACTTCATCAATTCCTTAACAAACAGTAACGCACATTAACAGTTGTTTTCAGGTCTTGCCAAGGCAAATAGTTATCTAGGCAAATAACAACATAAAAATTTAGGCAAGATCATTGTGCTTTCAGGATTTCAATTACTCTTTCTCTCTTTCTTTGTAATGATCACATGTTATGCGTTTCATATCTTCTGTTTTTTTTTCTCAATGTAGGTATGTCATAAAAATGTAATTCACTTCTAAATTTATAACTTGCATCTCAAAATTCCTGAAAGAAATTAAAATGTTACCGAATTTATTGGCTTTGTATAATGGACACCGATTTTATAATAAATTTTGAGAATGTATTAGATATAAGTAAACGGGTCTGTATATAGTATTAAATGTTATGTACATATAGATGAGCACTTAATTCTTAAGACTGAATAAATTAGCCTTTCACCAAATCTCTGTTTTTTTTTTCAATGAATTCAAACCAATACACACAAGAATACACATCACATCTTCACATCAACAGCCTTTAATAGTCCACTGCTGAACATAGGCCTCTCCTTAGAGAGTAGGTTTTGGCCTACGCAAACAAGAAATAAAGAATTTTGAGGTCCTGGCTGAAGTGGTTCGTAAGTGTATTTAGACCAGCAGACCGTCTTTTCATTATACTTCTCTTGGTCTTCGTTCTACATTTATGACATTCTTTCGCTTAAGTTACTTTGAAAATTAAAATTCGTTCATCTGCTAGTCCAAAGAGTATAATAATGGTAAAGACTGCAAGACGGCGTAGTTTTTTAAACGGCCACCTCGCCGCTTCCTATTGCGCTGAGAGTTATAGGTTCTATCCAAACATGGGACAACACTTAATGCGATCCACAAGTTGTTGTTCCCAATCTTTGTGTTCTCTGTGTCTGTTTCATGTAAATTTGTAAAGCCTCCGAGACACAGGATATATTCCTAGTGCGGTAGTTGTATTTAAAAAAAGTTGAGTACATGGAAAGGAAAACCACAAGAAAAACAATGTACATAAACGCACAAATCCAGAATTTATTATCTATTGTGTGTTATGTTGTGTATTCTATAATTAAGAAAGCGTAAGCAGTGGATACCCTGTCTGTCCATACACTTACTTGTAATGTTATCTATAAGTGGAGACTTGTCATTAGCTGATAGATTGTTTTATGGTTTACTAAAATGTTATTTAAGCTGTAAATATTGTCACTTGTGGTGAGTGGAAAGATTAGGAAAAATCTTGTTAATTTGCTGCTGTACGTAGTAACAGTACCAATATCATCTATGCTACTAGTCTAATTCACCATGCTATAGAGTCTGTGACAAAGCAGCAAAAGAAGAAACCGATTCATAAAACTTAGACTTAGTATCGAAGGTACTTCAATTACAATATTTTAAGGTAGGCAGTAGTGATGGAATAATTAGTCTTTACACTCATATTTAATTGTGAATTCTTAATTAGCAGTTAGCAAATTAATTGTCGTCGTGAAATTTCGTTATCTTATAATCATCGTCGTCTTCTTACAATTTGCCGAATTTCGTTTAGGCTTGGCGAAAACGTGGTTGGTTTCTTTTATGACCCGACTCTTTTTTAAGGCAAAGGAAGAAGGCAAACTGGAATAAAGAAGACGTATTAGGGAAAGGAGCAGGAGGGTACGGCAAGTCTGGGATGGAATACGGGACTCTGGCTTAAATAGGTCGAAGAAGCCAGTGTCGCATACTCAGATATCTGTCCTGTGATTGGGAAAGGCACTTAAATATTATCATGGAAAACCGTTTTTCTAAAGGTACAAGTACAATTAATCTACTCACAAAAAATTTTTCTTTGAGTTCGAACTCTGCATTTGTTGTCCGTGTGGTGACGGATTTAGAATACAGAGTGTCACCACCCTTTAGTCATATCATGGGTATCGTAAAAGCCGACTAAACTACGCCGGACAACATCACTGCCAAAAGAGAAGGAAAACTTGAAACAAACCCTATACCAGACCGTCTGGCCAGCGTGGTATAGTAGGCCAAAACCTCCTCCTAAGGAGAGGCCTATGTCCAGCAGTGGACTATTATAGGCTGTTGATGTGATGTTATAAAGTGGTTATATATATTTTCTATCATCATCCTTAGATGAAAAGAAAGAAAAAGAAACAAAGCTGAAGAAAAAAAAGACAAAAAAATATCCCAATCATCACATCATTTGGAGAGAATTAAAGAACAAGAACATAAACTAAAATCGAAATAAGAATAATAGTAAATTGTGATGATTTTCGATACCAATTATAATGATTTCAAAATAATTGATATTTTATTTAAATACTAAAGCCCCGCCCCGATTTTGCACAGGTTCTACTTCCTAATGCAGAAGATTGATTTTGTTATACATATATTTTTTGTTTCTGGTACTTTTACCAAAAAAATTAACAGAATTAAATGCTCATTATCCGTGTGGTGACGGATTAAGAATACAGAGTGTCACCACCCCTGTTCATCCCGTGGGTGTCGTAAGAGACGACTAAGGGGGCAAACTACGCAGGACAACAGCACTGCAAATGGAAGGAAAACTTGACACAAACCCTATACCAACCCGTCTGGCCAGTATAGTAGACCAAAACCTCCTTTCAAAATAGAGGTTTAAGTCCAGCAGTGGACTATTAAAGACTGTTGATGTGATGTGAAATGCTCATTATTTCTAAATTGTGGTATGATCTAAACTTACCCTTATATTTCCTCTCCGTTACATTTTCTGTTGTGACTCGAGCCTGAGGGACTCCAAGGGCAGCAACGCACCTGTGACTTTTGAGTTGCAGGCGTCCACGGGCGGCGGTAGTTGCTTACCATCAGGTGACCCGTCTCTCAGTTTCTTGTCTGTTATTTACAACTAGCTGGTGCCCACGACTTTGTTCGCATGGAATTTGAAAAGCTTTAGATTCCAGGACCGGACAAAATTTTATAGGGTTTTTCTGAGAGAAAAAATAGCCTAAGTTACTCTTTATACAGACAGCTACCTGGTAGTAAAATATTATCAAAATCGGTTAAGCCGTTTTGAAGATTACCCGGAACAAACAGACAGACAAACAAAAAATATTCAAACTGGTTTTAGGCATAGTTATCGTGCAAATAACCGTATAAGCATGAAAAAACCCTATTATTTTGACATTACAAACAGACACTTCAATTTTATTTATTTATATGTATATATGTATAGATTATTTTGAATAGGACCCATCTATATACATCTCTTTTCCCTTACTAAGCAGATACCAATTTGTGTGTAAACGCAGAGTATTTAAATAAAACAATCGTTTTTTGGTAAAAGGCTTTATTTAGTATCCAGTGTTAAACGCTAATTAATTTACATAATATTTACAAATAATATACAGACCCGTTTACTTAAAACTAAAGCTATATAAACATTTATAACATAATCAATGTCCAATGAACGAAGCTAAGATTCCTGTAGTAACAATGCATTTTGTGTTATTTCCTATTTATTATGATTATAAAATTAAGATTTTGTCCGTGTGGTGACGGATTAAGAATACAGAGTGTCACCACCCCTATTCATCTCGTGGGTGTCGTAAAAGGCGACTAAGGAAGCAAACTACGCAGGACAACAGCACTACAGAGAGAAGGAAAACTTGACACAAACTCTATACCAACCCGTCTGGACAGCGTGGTGTAGAAGGCCAAAACCTCCTTTCTAAGGAGAGGCCTATGTCCAGCAATGGACTAGTAAAGGCTGTAGATGATGATGATGATGAAGATTTAAGCATTCACTGGGGCCCTGTATCAAGAGGTGGAACGACTTGTCAGGCTGTTCACCCAAGTAACAACAAAGACTCATATAACTGTGTATATTTTGTAATATACTCCTACACGCGACAGTTAATATTTCAAGTTATTTCATGTAGAAAAAACCTTGTAGTAATTTAATTACCCTTAAGTGTAAGTCAATGTTTAATTTTATGTGTAACGGATAATGTGGAAATACATTGTTACTGTCTGATGATGGGCTGAACTAAGGGATTTATATTTATGCCTATTCAGGTTTTCTATTTACCAAAAGTTATTAGAATAGAATTAGCATTATTGTACACCAGTTTAGTACATCATACTCGTACATAGAATAGTATATCAAATTAATGACCATGTACAAATGGCGGCCTTATCGCTTGAAAAGCGAATTATAATACATTTTTAGATGTAATTATCACATAGTTACATACTGAATAATGTGTCGCCATTTCCATACGTGTTTGTTTTAGTTGGCTTAAGGATGAATCTGTGAATTGCAAAAGAGTGGCCATGAGTTTGTTTGCCCTTTCTTCTTATAAGGCTCAACCCCTTGGAAACGGGCGCATATAGATCGGCACAGGCATATCTTAGATTTTGAATGGGTTTGATTTTTGTTAAATTTATTTGCTTACTATTGGACAAAACAGAGATTGTTGCTTTTGTGTGTGTTAATCTATGATTTTAGAGTTACATAAAAGACGATTTCAAACAATTTTGAAAATATTATGAAATAAAGAGAGTTTGAGTTTGAGTTTGATGCTAGTAAATATCTACTGCTGTTTAGGGACATGTGCAACTTAAGAGGTTTTAATGTTTTAATTCCCTTAGTTCACCTTTTTACGCTTATTATACAGTATTAGGCGCTTTGTCCCCTCGGTATAGTGACGTCATTATGTCGTACCATACACTGAGCAATACTCATGTTGGGTTGGAGGAATTCTTCCAGCGAGTTTGCGGTGATGGGTCTGTCGAAGGGAAAACCCATCGCACGACGGTCTGGGTACTTGCGGTCGCGGATACCGCAGTACGATGCTGCGTCGTTGCACGTTCCTACCAAGTCTTGTTCGATCTGGAAGTATATTATTATAATTATTTCCTTTGGCTATATCCAAATACATCAGCACAGAAGACAAGACGAACTACACAGTCAATGCTGATTCTGGAACGCGCAATGAAAGTTCTCCATACACTACACTATAGATATGGCATGTATATTTTTACACGTAATTTGTTTACATATTTTATAATTTAACAACCACTTTGAGAGCATGCTTCGACATGCATTAAGCCGACTCAACTTTTTCTTTATGGAAGAGGGGGTAAACGAGCGGACGGAGTACCTGATGGAAAGCGACTACCGCTGCGAATGAACACCTGCAGCTCAGGATTAACAAACGTGTTGCCGGCCTTTGAGGAAGGAGTACGCCCTTTTTTTTCCATGTTTTTTATTTGATATCACAGAAAACCGGTGTTAAGTGAACGAAAGAATTGTCTGTTGTTGCCTTTCGCCATGTCACCGGAGGTCCAAACTTGCCCCGCCACCTCTAAGTTTAGGAGAGGCATTCAAAGGGGTGCACTTGTATCTCTTGAGTTGCACGTGTCCATGAGTGGCGGTAATCACTTACCATAAGGTGACTTGTCAGTTAGATACCTTATATACCATAAAAAAATAACTTCAATGATCCATCTGTTCAATTCAATATTCCCGTCAATCTGGAAACTAGTCCAATATAAAAAAAATATCTATAACATCTAAATGTATACACACACATATCTATTGCAGATCTGCCTTTTTAAGTGGGTTAGTAAAGAAGACAAAACTTTTAAGAATACTTTATTTTCTATACCAAAATAAATTAAAGAATAAGATCAATTATATTTCTGAAACTAAACTAACAACAAACATTGTGAAGAAACCTCAATGAAAAGAGAACTAAATGTAGAAAAGCCGTATATCCAAAAAGCAAATGTTTAGATTTAGGGTATACTCACCCTATCTTCAGCCCAATTGGAGATCATAACGAACAGCACCATTGGAAATCCCTTTAAGTTACCCTTGGGTATCAGCATGTGGTGTGGCCACCCACAGCCGCAGAAGTTGAACGGTGCTGCCTCCGGGGAAGTTGGATCAGCGACGCGCGAAGACTATGACATACAAAGAGATAAATTAAGAGAAATTAGTCTAGAAATATTAAGTAAATTATACAGAGTGACAATGCGAGGAAAAGTGCGGACAAAAGCTTTTACTCGTATAAATAAAAATACGAGTATTTAACATCTACCCAATCTAATAGTCCAATGAAAGAACTGCCAATCAATTTATTATTACTTCTCACCAATGGTTCCGTACCTCAAAAGGTAAAAAAGAAACTCTTTCTTGTCCGTCTATCCGTGTGTCACCACCGATTTTTTTAGGAACGGGTAGACCTAACAAGTTGTCTATGGTCCCTATTAGGTGTATAAAAATCGAGGTCCTGAGCCAACACGATAAAAAGATATGGGTAAATTTCGAGTTGAAAATTTTGGTACTTACAAGAAGTACCAAAATTTACCAAATTTTTCAAAATTTTTTATTTTTCAGAATTTTCTCCTTACTTGTGCTGTAAGACCTTGCTTTTAACCAAAATTGACAATTCTAGGTCAACCGGAACCCTGTAGGTTTGGAAAAATTAAGGTTAATTTTGGTACTTACAAATTTTCGCGAAAATCTACGTAAAATCTGGGTAGGTACGGAACCCTCGGCGCACGAGTTCGACTCGTACCTGACCGGTTTTTTTTTAAGTTTAGCTAAGTGCAGCTGTGGAGATCCCTCAAATATGCCGATATTTGAGAGATCTCCTCAATATTGTCCAAGACTGCGCCAGGTGACGTAATAGTTATATATAAGTTACAAACGACAATCGTTTGTAACTTATATGAAGAAGAATTGAAGCCAGCAGTGAAAAAGTTTGTATATAAATTTGATATGATTTTGGGGACAAAAGAAATAAAACCTTGCTGGGGAATATAATAAGAAAAAGGACAAAGGGAAACGATAAGGCGTACCTGGTCTCTAAAGGTTCTCTCGTAGGGAATGGTAACGGATGAACTAGAGCTTTGACGATTGATCACATTGTTGCCAGGCTTTACTGGAAACCAAAAAATACGTAGTAAAATAATAGAAAAATTCGCAAATGCTTTATGAATTGCAAAGACGTTGTCAGAAGTACAGAAAAATGTAAACCTTTTCCTTCAGAAAAAGGTAAAATTCTTGAATTCTCCTCGAAGAAACCTTCTCGAGGGTTTGCAAAATTTGCACATCGATTCAGGCATCTCATTTGAATTGATAAGCAAATTTTGCAAAACTCATAAATATTTATACGAGAACTAATGCAAACAATGGGCAATACATTCATTACCCTTGAATTAAATCAACTTTCGACCAAGTTGTACTGGCCGTGATAATACGACCAGTCAAATTGAAAACTAGTCAGTAAAGTATCTGATCGCGTTTTACCGTAAAAATAATTATATACATCATGCTTGTGAAAGTTCAAAGGTTTGTAAATTCTACAAGAACTTAAGCAAACCAAACGTGACAGCTAGTTTAAAAAATTCATTAACATATCAATGAAGAATTATCTCCATTCTCGAGAATCTGGCTTATTAGATAACATTTTTGTATTTAAACTAAACTCACACTGGGCAGTGAATTTGTCCAGCTCAATAAAAAAACGACGCTGTTCATTGAACTCCAAGGGCTGGCCCTTCTCGTCCTGCGTGGGTGCCAGGAAAATACGGACAGTGCCCATTGCGGTCTTCTTCGTCGTATTATTATACTCAATGCTGGAGACAAAAAAGTTGCAGGTTATAAATATCACGCTACACCAAAACTACTATTAGATGACTTAAAAGAGTGCTTGTTAATTTGTTTGTTCATATAATTCTTCAGATAAATCTCAAGTATTTAAAAAGGAGCAGTAGGTATAGATCAAAACAGGCAGACGGTAATTTTAACCATAGCAGTACGTCAGTATTTTTTGTTAAGTCATTGTTGTGTAGGAACTGAAATAACATGGTCCGGCTCCTCCCAGAGTAGGACACCTGCGGCCGGTCGGGGTGGTTTTTAGTGGAATCACCACATACTAATGGCTCCTGGGTCCCCGAAGAGCAGAAGAAATCCGAAGAGATTTTCATACGCGTCAACAAAAAAAAAGTCATTGTTTGTGTAAACTCAATTTTTGTTCGATTCAATTAGTCAATTCCAAACATTTCTTTAAAGATTTTATAAAATAAAGATGGTGTACTTTTGGCAATTTAGAGAAACTCACATATATTTAAACGGCTCATGCTGCAAGTGAGTGAATCTGGCCGTCACAGAACCACGTGGCGTGAAGTCCAAACCGTGGGTCAATTCCACAGTACTTAACTCCCATCTAGTACCAAATATGTTTCTGCCAGCTGAACCTTCAATGTGTATTCCGTTAACACGAATGCCGGGAAAGTTCAACTTAAAAGAAAAATATTTCTTACTTTTATAAATATCATACACTAAACGTAAAACCTTTTATTAAATATAAGGAAAATAGTTGCTATGTACCTCATAATTAAGGGCAAACAGATGGTAACTAGTCTAAAAAATATTTAATATTTAAATAGTATGTGAAATGTTAATGAATTATATTTATTAATTTACTATTATAATGAGGGTCGAGCTTTCAGTAATCTAATTGAGTCAGGAAAGTAAAAAACAGGATCACTTGATTGACAGACTGACTATAAAATGTCATACAGGTATAAAATTTGCAAAATTCGTTGATATTTTTTTTAAATATATATTAAATGAGAGAAACCGTATCTACCTTGTCAATCCCGTACGGAGGCAGTTGGTTCTTATAACTAACGAATAAGTCATCTATATAAGAATGCCAACGGTAGAAGACAGGATCACGCATAGCGGTCGCAGAGTCTCCCATCACTCCGAATGCTTCCTGCAATAACATCATTGGAAATGTTAAAAACTAATTTGAAATCAACGTTAGTTCTAGAATAACTTAACTAAGATATCTTTCAATAGTATTGACTATTATAAATTATGGCCAAAGTGATAGAGCCCTGTGGCATTCCTGATACAAAAGGCGATCGAGAACACTATTATTACTTTACTAATACACTTTTTTATTTAGAGAGAAAGCAACTATGTAACATACATCCTATTCTTGTGACTTTTTATGAGATATATCTAGTTTGTATTACGTATGTACAAATTTAGCTAAAGAAAATTATGATAAACAGAATCAAAAGGTTTAAGTAAATCTATAAGATCAATGTTTATTCTGAACAACAACAACTTTTTGCAGTAAGTTAATTTTGTAAGTGTCTGCATCAAGTTAAATAAACAGGAAAAGAAGCAACGCTTTGGAAAGGAAATGGTGTATATTAAAAGAGTTTTTTATGCAGTTATAACACATTATGTCATGTGCCAATTTTCCACTTCGGCTTCAATTAATGTCTGCTCTAATACGTCATGTGTGATGTGAGTAAAATAATAAATAAAAAGAAAAAAATATTTCGAAAGTGTATTTTATATTATTAATTAAATTATCAGTAATTGAAATATCAAGTAATACCATTGCTAATAGCTGCCACGGTGTAGAAGAGTTTGTTTTGCAACTACAATGTCCTTCTTGGACTCAGTTTACAAAATTATTAGATGATTTTAATATTTTTTTTAATTAAATTATGTTACATTTTTATTTATTTTTTGTTCTGTTGTTCTGCTCTTAATTCTGTTTACGTTACAATAAGTGTCAAAGAAAAATATAAATCACAATCGCTGCCTACAGGATGTAATAGACGTCGTAACAAATACTGAAATAGTGTATTCAGACCATCATTTTGAGTCGAAAACCATAATATTTTTTTACAATTTTAATTTTTTTTGGTTAAAAATGATATCACAATGAGTAAACAGAATATTTCACCAAAAAAAAATCATAAATACTGCATACGGTCAAGTTAGTGTACGTAAACTGTTTGCACGGAATACAAACGTAGTTATTACTTTTGTGCGATACGTACCTTGTCCTTTGACAGCTGATAACATAAAATTATCGACTGAGAATGGTGGTCTGAATACACTATTTCAGTATTCGTTTCGACGTCCCTAACACCCTGTATGTTATATATTAATGATACATACCAAATGTCTGTTATCAGGATCATGTGCATACGCTATAAATATGTGTCCCATATTATGTATGTCTCCATAGTATTCTTGGTTTGGACTGATAGTGGATGATTCTATAATATTGCCCAGAATATCTATACCACGTTCTTCATCCAGCGGAACTTGACGACCGTTGGGCTGTAAGAAAGATTTAAGAAGAGCACAATTAGACATTATAAGCAGAGTCAGGAATTTGTGAGAATTTTCTAGATTTGTGTGAAGATTGTGTGAGATTTGGTCACGAATTGACTTAACAATGATAAGAACTTAAGACATCTCACACATGGCCTCTGCTTCTTAACTAGGCAGAGCCTGTGGTAACAAGAAAGACAAATGCTCGTACTCATCACACAATCGTCATGTGTGGGGTTTGAACTCACTACCTCTCGCTCAGCAGTCAAAATCACTAACCACTTGACCAAAATGTCATGTCATTTTCAAAACTTGTGGAGAATATACCCAGATTCACAACTCTAATGTTAACGGGCCTGTTGGTGTAGTGGTTAGTGCCCCTGACTGCTAAGCCGGAGGTCGTGGGTTCGATTCCCACCTAGGACAAATATTGTGTGATGAACATGATCATTTGTTCTGTGTCTGGGTGTAATTTGTATACAATATGTATGTATTTAAAAATATATAAGTATGTTTATCAGCACTCTGGTAACCAATAGCACAGGCTCTGCCTATTTTGGGATCAGACGGCCGTGTGTGAGATGTGTGAGGTATATTATATTATGTACAAAAGTTGCAGAAATTTCAATACACTACTCGTAATTATAAATTATACTTTCCTGTAATTATATCGATAAATATTCGACAAACTCAATAGATTTGATGATTCCGTAAAGTTGTTATTTTAAAGTGGGAATAATAGTAGTAGTATTCAATTATTTTCCTCCATAAAACACTCAATACTCAATATATTTATTGCATTCCACAATGTTTACTTAGATGGTAACTTAAATATAAGATCAGATCATCATGGACCCTGCGGGCACAGCAATAGATGTGAATAAACCAGTAGATATCGCTTACCAAAAGAGCTGATCGTTTCTCAATGGCCTGTATGATCCTGTCTATCCAGGTTTCCATCTGAGACACATCAAGTCTAATTTGCTCCAGGGGCCGGACCAGGTCGCGGACAGTTGTACCTGAAAATCTGCAATATTATGGAGAAATAGAGTGTCTAGTTAATCAAAGAGTAGTTGGGACTCCCCCATTATGTTTTTTAACATTCTACTCTTACGCATAACATTTTTTTTATGACATAGAGCGGAAACGAGCAGACGGGTCACCTGATGTTAAGTGAGCACCGGAGTACCCCTCAACGACAGCAGCAACTCAAGATATACAAGTGGGTTGCCACACCGCCTCTCCTGAATTACCGAGGTGTGAAATTATCGAAGAACCAACCCCTCTTTCGCCTTTAACTCTGGTATAATGTAAGTTAATCTTACTGAGGACTGAGAAGACAACGAAAAACGCTTAACTTTGGTTTTCGGGTTTCTTACGCTGTAAAGTCACATTCAGTCGAGCGTTAGACATATTGATAGCGTATGGTTTGTTGAGGTCTGCTGTTTCGCCCTGATGTCTACGTAATCTTCGTTTCCAAAGAATTATTACCTTGGCGACCAGGCTCTGCTTGCGACTTGCGAATCAAGTTTCGGGAAATACGCCTCTTCAATAGGCTCACGCAAATTGTTGTACCGACGCACGCGGCCCAAGCCATTACAGAAGCGTTCTGTCGTGTACCTGCAACACGGTGTTATCATCAGGGTACAAGATTTTTAGAAAATACTATAAACCCTAGTAACTTAATTCGCTATTAGAAGTAGACAGAAATAGAGTGTTGGTGAACTGCAGAGAGAAGGAAAACTTGAAACAAACCCTACACCAACCCGTCTGGCCAGCGTGGTATAGTATGCCAAAACCTCCTTTCTAAGGAGAGGCCTATGTTGACTATTAAAGGCTGTTCATGATGATGATGATGAGAGATGATGATGAGATTCATAACAATCAAGACAATTACACATTTTTCTTACCTGGCAATAATCTGCTGATGCATATAGTAAAATAGTTCTCCCCTACGATCTTTGTTAACAACGTTGTTATCACTAGCTTTATTGGGGTACACCAGATGCCAGTGCCAGTGGTGGAGATTAACGCCAATGTCTTCGCGGAAGTAGGCCACGCGCTGTTCGGGTTCGTTAGGCCCTGCCGTGTAGTTCACCGGTATTATTACTGGCATCTGTAAGAAACGGTGTCACTTTAACATTCTAGACTTCTTTCCTTTTCTTCCTAATTTATAATTCGTTTGTTGGTTACCTTTTACAGAAGGCGGGAGAACTTTCATTACCTACGCGATTTTGAAAAGGAGTTAGGTACTTTGTAGTTTGGTGTCTTCGTTAAATGGTGTTGGAGTTTTTTTTGTAGTATGTGATTCCATAGTGCAATTCTTATATATATATAGTACAATTTGCTATACAGGGCTTCGGCTTGGCTTTTATGATAATCAAAATTTTCTATAGTATAATATTAATCTCTAACATATAACAACGTACATGGAAGGGAATTAGTGCGATCACGTAATAGGACATTTGGCGCCAATAAGTTTGCTTTGGCCGTAATCACAGGCTGTTTCGTTATGATTAACAAATTATATGTGACAACATACATACCAGAAACTTAGATAATAATACAAACATATTATGTACCCCCATTAGGGCAGTGTCATGTTTAAGTGACGGAATACAATGTTAATGTATATAAAAAAATGATACAAAAAAACTAAAATACTGTTGCGCCATAGGATTAAATGGGTCGATTGTATGGAATGTGGAGGACAGCGCCATCTAGTACCGACCAAATACATCTATTAAGATTGTGGTTAATACGAGTAGTTCTGATCCTTACAGCGCTAGATGTCATGATTTTGGAATATTCATGTTTGTCTGGAACGGACTAAAGGATCTTTCAAGTAAAATTCAAAAGCGCTATAAAAGCGGAGCGTGTTGGTCGTTCGGAACAGTCTCGTTTTACGACACAGTGCAATAAAGTAATTAACCGATAACTTTTGTTTATTATATACCCCGCTCGTAACAATACTAACAATATAGCAACAAACATGGAAAAAAAATGGTTTGAAATAAAGAAATGCAATGCTAATTAGCTGTTTTTTGCTCAAGATATTAGCTTTTTATATTGCAAAACACTACGCTACGACCCTTAGAGGTAAAGCAGTAGTCAAAAATTCAGGTGACAGATAGAACCTGTCTCTCTTACCCTAGCTCCTGAAGGCGCAACGCTGGACGCCTCCCTAGCCTTGCGGAACACTTTAGGGTCCACAAATTTATCCGGGAACAGCTCTGCAAATGTTGGAATTCCTACACCCCTCGTATCAGGTCTGAAAGAAACAGATATTATATCTTATTTGTCCTTTTACCAAGACAAAATCTATTTTAGTTCTTACATGGAGTATTAGAGAACAGTGTGGTGTATAAGTTTCGAGTAGACCCCGTATTTAAGTTTAAAAATTAAATTGTACTAAAACATTTTGTGAATTACAACTTGACTCGAAAATTGTCACTTTCTCCAAGCCGTTTCCCTAAACTGGGTGGAGGTCGGCTTTAAGTCAACTACGATACGGCTGAACTTCGATATTTTACATGGAGCGACTGCCATATTAGCCGCAGAACCGACAACCGTTGGGGAAAACGAGTTCTTGAGTGGAGACCGCGTAACGTAGTGTAGGACGCCCATAGGCCAGGTGGAGTGACGATTTGCGCAAGATGGCTGGCAGGAGCTGGATGCGAGAAGCCCAAAATCGATCTAAGTGGCGTGCAATGGGAGAGGCCTATGCCCAGCAGTGGACTACGATAGGCTCATAATGATGAGTGCCATCAGACCTCCCCAACCCAAGTACTAGGCGATATCGAAGTTCTGTAGAAAGATGGCTGTCGGACTTTTTAAAGCATTACTCGTAACGATTGCCACAGATGTTGGTGTGACAACCGGGATCGATGGTGCTCTTAACGTGCTCTCCAAGGCACGGAGGGGTTTCAATGTGTTAAAAAATGTTCACCCATCCATTGACTGACCTGGCTAGGATTGCTTAACTTTGCAATGTGTTAACCTATTCGGTTACCAATTAACCACGAGCCCCTCTATATTTTATAAAAGAGCTGGTATGAATGAAACTATGACTTGTTTAAAATATCTACATAAATAGCTATTTAGAAATACACACCTACACCAGTAAAATCATTTGCTGGTATGGGTGTGTATTTGTAAATAGCCTATTAGGTATTGGTAGTATTATGTATTGTGTGTACTCGAATTTTTTAAGTTTCATTAATTAAATAATTGTACACATGTTTAATGTTTCCAAAATTTGACCAAATCGTTCTGTTCTGTTTATTCCATTAAGGAATTTCTAACAAATAAGGAATCGTAAGAATAAGAAATGCAACAAGAGCACAATGTAATTGATACATGGTTGACCTGAGGAAAGACAATACTAATAATATAAAGGTACTTTAATCATTTGTTAAAATTGCTTGCTCTTTTCATGGCTAAATGGGCCTATTCGATTTATATCAAACTTGTTTTATATACCACATCTTTTACTACCCCATTTAAAGCAAATAAATAATTTGAATTTGCATTTGTAATCTTCGTATAGAGGCACTAAAGTATACAGTATTTCACAGTGGGACTCTGGTTTGAGCAGACTTCTCCTGTGTCTCCTTCAAAATATCTATCTAATTTATCTATAATTGTTAAAAAAGATTGTACCTAATCTAAATTGATTCGAGTGCTCTACTGAGCAGCAGGTAGGCCAAACATCTTAGGGCTACGCATTCTTTATGGCAATCCAGAGTTCAATTCTCGGTTACTTAAGACGGTTCTGCTGTGGATTGAGTTATATCTGTTGTCGAGACAGAAAGAATTAGAATTAATGCAATCAAACTTGCAACCAGAGATGAACCCCACTTCTAATACAAGATTTATAACTTTGCTGGATTTTTTTTTAAAAGTTCAAGACCAAACGCGATGTAGGTTTACTGTGAACTCCCTCTGACCTATTTCGGGGACATAGTACTTACATTAAGTCAAGGGAGGCAAGCTAGAGGGGTTAACAAGAACAGTTATATGCTGCACTGACTGCATAGTGGTTTAAGCGTTTGCATCGCCGCTTCCTACTAAGGGTCCGATCCCCACATAGGATGATACTTTGTGTGATTCATTTTATTGTTCTCTCTCACACAGATATGGTTACAATAAACAATCTTACTCTAGGTTATTTTGAGTGAGTCTGTGTGAGAGACTGGTATCTGTACTAGGTTCGTGGACATGTATGACAAATAACCAGCCTCCATATATGGTGCTGCTGTGGGTCGTAGCTCCTAAATATGGTAGGAGCTACGACCCACAGCAGAAAACAAACCTTAAGTATACTCCGAAATTCAGGATGGAGGTGGTCTTTGATTACCTGTGCAATATGGCGACTGAGAGACAATAGTTGAACATATAAGGGTTGACACGCAGCTGACAGTATGAGGCAACTGACATCAGATCTTGAATGTCACGCATACCTGCAGTATGGAGGTCATTTGTTTATAATCCAAGTAGTATATAACCTAACGGTGCTAAAATAAGTTGAACATCGGTATTATACACAACAAGATCAATAATTGGGAAATGAATTTTAATTTGTATAATTGAATGTGATCTACTCGCTGATTGGTGGATTTTTAGACAGATTGTTAATTATAAGCGTCTCATAGTAAGTGCTTTAAGCAATAAATGCTTAAAAACTTCCCGTGGTACCACATACTTTTTGCCAACAGCTTTCATATCTAGATATCTAGGAGTGGTTGAGAAGGTGAGGCAAATACATTTTTTTGGGCTTATGGACAAAAAGAAAGAGTGTCGGGTGGCCTGCCTTCTCTAAAGAAACAGAAGGATTTTTTTTATCGTTTTGTTTACACAGTATGATATCATGTACTCGAAAACCGCCCACCTCTCCCAACCCATTTTCTTTCACCAGATCACACCAGATGTTTAATTTATAGAAAAACATCGAATCAAGTATATCTTGTACCCTCTGTATAATATTTTAAAAACAAATATAATATAATATGGAGTTTTTTCAACTGGTACTTTTACATCATCATCAACAGCCTTCAGTAGTGCACTGCTGGACATAGGCCTCTCCTTCGAAAGAAGGTTTTGGCCTACTATACAACGCTGGCCTGGGTAGGTATAGGTTTTGTGGCAAGTTTTCCTTCTCTTTACAGTGCTGTTGCCTGCGTAGTTTCCTCCTTTAATCGTCTCTTACGATACCTTTAATGAATAAGTGTGGTGACATTCCGTATTCTTAATCCGTCACCACACGTATTTTTACATCCGTACCCTAATATAGAAAGAAACAATTACTTTTAATCCTTACCCATAAATATGTCAATAAGCTTCCCCGCCATGTCGCGGTGCTTCGGCACGAAGAACGAAAACTGTGCGTTGTACGGGAGCTGTAACGGCAGCGACAAGTTGGGCAGAGCGATGTTCTGAACTGGAATGGTACGGCCGGCATCGTTGCCAAAACGGTTGGAGATCGTATCCGATAACACCTTGTATTTTTCCGGCTGTAAGTTAAACATTTCTTGAAAATTACAATGGAAAAGCAATTACCGTGTCATGTGTATATAGAAAATGTTACGCGTATCAACGCCTTAAGAAAGATACATATTATAATACTAGCTGAGACCCGCGGTGTTACCCGCGTTTGTTGTCATAACCGCGGGCAACGCCGCGGGGCGAAGCTAGTCTGAAAAAAGTAGCCTAAGTTACTCCTTATGTCATCAGCTATCTGCCAGTGAAAATCCCGTCGAAATCGGTCCAGCCGTTCTAGAGATTACCCGGAACAAACAGACAGACAGACAGACAAAAATTGTAAAAAATGTTATTTTATCATATGTACCGTGTAAACATACATATGCATTTAGTAAAAAGCGGTTATTTTAATATTACAAACAGACACTCCAATTTTATTTATTTGTAGTATGTAGTATAGTATAGATAGGGTGTAATGGACATCGTAACGAATACTGAAATAGTGTATTCAGATCATGATTTTGAGTCGAAAATCATTGGAATTTTCTGTTTATAAAACTGGTAGCTTCATTAAACTGGTATACCAGTTTTATGAAGGTACCCTTAACCCTTAAGATGGTATACGAGTTTTATGAAGCTACATAAAAGATTCATACCTCTATATTCCCATTAAACGCTTACATTTTGCTACTAAAATTATTTATAGTCATATTTACGTAATAGGGTCGTCAAAGGAGTTAAATGGTAAAATTAAGAAGAAGAAGAAGGTAGAAAATAATAGAAGGCAAAGATGGGAAAGGGATAATGCTTAAGCGGGTGGATTAGGAAATATAAGCATTATTAGCTCGAGCAGTAAGGGTCGTATCCCTGTAACTTGTACTCGAAATTTTAAGTGCACTGCCCTTACTCCTAAGAAACAAGGTCAAAAAGCATCGAATGACGGGTATTAGTACAAGTACATTACGTATTGTCGCGTCACAATCGTAGTTAGTATCGTGTATTTGAACTTTTAACCTTGTGAATATTCATATTGCCAACATAACACAATATAACCTTCTAAAAAAATACTTTTATTACTTTTTAACAGACACTGGACACGCAAACGCCATGTAACTGATTTTAGATTAAATAGTTTACTATGTTTATTTAACAAAAGGACAAGAATAAAAAAAAATGAAATAGTTTTTTTGCAAAAATGTAGACCCGTTATATTTTTTAAGAAAGTAGAAAATGAGGAGGTTTTGATAGTATTGTTTCATGTTTTACTTCAGAACTCTGTTATTTACAAAGCGATTAATAAAATACTTTTTTTATTTAGGAGGGTATATTTCTCGTTTGGTCTTATTATCGTTTAAAGAAAAAACCCCCTAAGGGTGCAAAATTAAGGCATGAAGAACACATGTTTGTGTTAATTAAAATTAATAATGATATAAACTGTAAGCAAATTGAAGTGTGCAGCATCACGGATTAAGAATACGGAGTGTCACCACCTCTATTCATCCCGTGGCTGTCATAAGAGCCTACACTACAGCTAGACTGTTAAGAGCAGAAAAAAATTTAAACAAACTATACCAGCTCGTCTGGCCATCGCGGTGTAGTAGGCCAAAACGTAATTTCTAAGGAGGAGCCTACGTCTAGCAGTGGACTATTAGAGGCTGTTGATGATCAAAGATAATTACGAAATCCATCATTTTGTTGAGGGCACAATAGTTAAACGGATAATACACATTTTGTTCACAAACTAGAAGGATAAAAAATCTGTATATACTTACGAAATAGTTGTCGGGTAGTTCAAAGACAGCCTTCTCTTCTCCCTTTTGCATGAAACAAGGCTCCGCGGGCCGGTCAAAAAACAGCAACAGATTATTTTTGTCAGCCATCTTTACGTCTGGAAATTGCTGTGAATCTTACTACTATTATATACGCGAAGTTTAAATGATTATGAGAATAGAACAGAACAGAAGGGCTGAACGGACCTACATTAAATTTAGTCTTGAAAAGCACATAAACTTTTGGCATTAAGCAAACGCGCACATCAGGACTTTAGAGTTGAAATACTTAAAGTTAAAAGTGTAAAATACTAAAAATTTTAACCAATATGTACTGTTAAGTTAAAAATTATATAAAAACGCTTTCTATTTGTAAATATAATTTTGTAATTTGGAAATATAATCAACTAATGTAGTATACATAAGTACAGAAACACTGAAACCATTGCAAATAGACATTCAGTTTTAGTAATCACAGGTCACGGGTTAGATTTCTGCTAAGTGCAAACATTTTTTTACGTATTATGTTTGGATGTTGTACTTTTTTATCCAGTTATCTGTTATTACTTTTAACAAAACATGTACTCACCCCTAGGCTTTCTGTCACAAAACAAAAAATAAAAAGTAATTGAAGTCAAGCCGTATGGACCACGGCTCGAGAATAACTATAGGTGAAATATTTTCCAGAATTTATACAATACATTGTTTGTAGATAAATGCACTTTGGTGCAGTCTAGACCGATAATGGTCTGATAAGGGAGGATGTTAATGGTTAGGTTATCGATAGAATATCAGAAACTAATATAAAAGTACGTGGGAATGAAATACGTTGGTGGCCATTAACATAACCTGTAACTTTTTCAATGTTAAGGTGTTAGCAAACGAGCAGACAGTTCCCTTGATGTCAAGTGTCCACCACTGCCTATAGATGCCCTCATAATTGAGGAAGGTTTTCGGGCATGATCACCTCGTCTGGTCGGAGAAACCTCCCTTTGTGTTGGAGGGACATGACACCCGTTCCTCCACAGTGGTGACCCCGACGTGTTTTGAACACGAAATCTTCTGATCTAGAGTCGCCACAGCTCCGTTCGGTCTGGACACAAATGTGTCGAAGCTCGTTTTTCTCCAACTTTACAATATACTACGCATGAGGGCATTAATAGTTCCTTAATTAAGTAAGTAAACTAGATTAGGACAGCTGGCTTACCTTGTTCCCTTTGGGTACGCAGCAGCTGCTATTAAATTCCCATTCTCACCATGACATCGTATTGCGCTAAGAGTTTACAGTAAAATTGTTTTCCTATTTAAAGAATGTTTAACAGCGGTGAGAATCTGGACACTAGCATCAGCTCCTTAAGATCTATCGCTGATCTAGAGACTTGAACAAAAGGTATTTTAACAGGTCTATGAAGGACTTGGGCTGTGATCCATTAGATATTCATTAGCAGAGCACCGCTATCTTCTATGGAAAAAGGATATTACACAATTTGAGCTGAACTGTAACTAATTCCTTTCTATATAGGTATATGCAGTTGATAATTTGTTGAGATTTTACAAGTGTCGCTATCTAGCGAGGGTAAGGCGAACTACTTTGTAGTTGCTCCTCCACTGTAGCGACAAATTTGGTATCAGTCTAAAATAAGGGTAATGTGGAAAGGCTTGACTGTTACTTGATATTTAATAGAACTATAATGTAAACATAGATTGACTAATAAACCGTTATCTGTACTGCACAACCATGATTCAACTGCGGGATTAACATCCGACTGCGGGACTATTACAGATGAGCATTTTTTTTTAAATTTCATTAAAGGCATCCACCCTATATCCACCTTTATATCCCTTTTTAACGTATAACATATGAATAAGCATTCAATAATTGTTAATACGCGTCTTTTCAATGTCCATTCTTGAGTTCGAACGATAGGCACGATAGTTGAGTAACGTCCTAGCAAAAGTAGATCCTAAATACAATAAACTGTTGGAACCTCCAACAAATAATGCAAATCCGACGCCGTATAAATTACAGCACCGCCAAATTCATGTGGCAACAACCCTCATACAACATTTCGTGATACATACCTATTTAAGAACGGAGCCATAAAGCCGTAAGTATTTTATATTCTGAACTCTTTCTATGAGTACCTACATGGCAGACGTGTATACATCGTGCAACCTTGTCATTTATTAATTGCTCTAGCGCTTAATAAAACTAGTATTTTATATAACATATAAATAAATAAGCTACTCACGAACCCTTAGTTTTATGAATAATTTGTAGTTTTCAGAATGTAGGCAAGAGACAAAGACTCTGTCTGTTCCATCATCGATATCTTCTTGTCCTCTTTCCAACTTTATTTGGTGTCGGCGCAATGTGCAACATTGCAAATAGTTTTGGCTGATTTCGTTTGTGGCCAGCAACCATTTTTGGATATGTAATCGTATTTATTTATTTATTTTAAACTTAATGCACATATTGTACAAAGGCGGACTTAATGCCATTAGGCATTCTCTCCCAGTCAACCTTCAGGTGATGTAGAAATATGATGCGGTTGGTGCAAAATAAAATATGATATTAATATAATTTAGGTCCAGAAACATACACAATATAAAAACACACATGCATACATAAACCTACATAAATTTAATAAAATATATAAATACTCAGTCGGGAACTAGAGCTGTAACTATTTCGCCAATTCACCCCGAAGAAGATCGCGCACTTTTCTCTTGAATGCGAGGCGATTTGTTGACATCCTGATTTCGGCAGGGAGGGCATTTCAGAGGAGGACTGACTGGACGTAGAAGGAGGAGTTGATGAAGTTAGAGGTGTGAGGGGGGCATAGAAGAAGCATATTGTTGGTTGATCGAAGATTTCGATCGTGATTGGAGCATAGGAAACGGAAGTGGGGTACGAGGTATTCAGGTAACGATGGAGAGTTGAGGAAAGAAAAGAGAGAAGTCAGTGCTCGTAAACTGCGGCGCTGACGAATTGGGAGCCATTGCAGCTGGGAACGTAAAGCAGACACGTGGTCATACTTGCGAAGATTGAAAACGAATCGAATGCAGTTATTGAGAAGGCGATCTAGTTTATTGAGAAGGTCTGCATTCAGGTCGAAATAACACACATCACCATAGTCGATTATGGCAATAATGAAGGACTGCATAAGCGTAGCCTTAGTTTTAGTGGGAAGGAAGTTCTTCAATCGATATAAGGCACGGAGACATGTGGTGACTTTCTGGCCGACGTGTGTAACCTGTGCCCGCCAGTCAAGTGTCGAGTCGATATATAACCCCAGGTTCTTTACCACTGCACTATAAGGTATAGTCACATTGTTGTAGACAACTGGTGGGATGACCGCCATATCCAACCTACTTATCATTTGTTTGCTTCCCACGACGATCACTTGACATTTGGTTGGATTTACCGACAAACCAAACCTCGTTGACCAGCTCTTTATAAATAATAATAATAATAATATATTTATTTGCAGAAAATGTGGTAGTCACAGTAGGTGGTTTACAATGTTTAAAGCACAAGACACATTTCGCTATATTTAGATAGCATGCAAATTTTTAAATTGTGCAGGTAAAATTATGAAATAAAATTACATTACATTGCACTTGAAATATCAAAAATCAAACATTTTTAAAATTGTACAGGTAAAATTATGAATAAAATAAAAATAAAATTACATTACATTGCACTTAAAATATCAAAAATCATATTAAAAATAATTACTACACTAATGCATTTCTGAAGTGATATGACTGAGTAGAGTACTTTTTTAAAAAATCATTGACGGAGTAAAAGCACTCTGCTATTAGCCAATTTTTTAATGAAGTACAAAATCTGTGATAAGGAAGAGTTGCAATATTCTCCGGCAACGCGTTATAGATAAGTGGTGCCATGTAAACACAGCTCACCCTAAAAATTTCTAGGCGAGGTACTGGTAATTTTAAATACGAGTGAGTATTTTTACGTTTGTTGGTATTGTCCTTAACTTCAAAGAGCTCTTTATTGCACTTCACGAATTTAGCTAGTTCATAGATGAATATGCCAGGGACGGTCAACAGATTATGAGATACAAAGACAGGCCTGCATGAATCTGTCCATTTCAAACCGAATATTGCACGAAGCGATTTCTTTTGTGCTAAAAATACTCGCGTTATTTCTGATGAGTAACCCCAAACAATAATGCCGTAACGAATTATGGAGCAAACATATGCATGGTAGACCATTAAAGCAGTCTCCCTTGAAGCAACCTCTTTGACTTTTTTTAATGCAAACACAAACTTATTCATCTTTTTGCAAACATTTTCTATGTGATACTTCCACGTCAGATGTTCGTCCACTGTAACACCTAGAAATTTTGTGCTCTGTATTTGTTCTATTTCTTGATCATTAAATTTAACTGAAATATCAAATTGTTTTGTTTTTACTGTTCTGAAATGAATAAGTTTTGTTTTATCTATATTAATTTTTAAATGATTCGTATCAAGCCATTTGATGATATTCTGAAGTGTCTCATTTACTTCATGTTCACATGAATTTAAATTATTACCACTTATTAACACTGTAGTATCGTCTGCAAATAGCACAGATTTGCGATTTTGCATTGCTTGCGGGAGATCATTGATGTAAATAAGAAATAGTAATGGCCCCAAAATACTCCCTTGCGGTACTCCGTAATAGTTAAACCTAGGTTCCGAATCGAAATATTGTAAACAATTAGTGCCACTATTGAATTTGGTTATTCTTGTAATTTGTCTTCGTTTGCTTAAATATGAATCCATCCATTGTAAGGCTATACCTCTTACGCCAGTTTTATCCAGTTTTTGAATTAGTACATCGTGACTCACAAAATCAAACGCTTTGCTTAAATCTAAAAATATAACGAAAGATGGTATTTTTTTATTTATGTTGTTAATTATAGATTTTATTAGAGAAAATATTGCATGTTGAGTAGATTTACCCTTTCGAAACCCAAATTGTTCTTTAGCCAATACGTCATATTTATTATATAAACTAATCAGCCTTTTATTCACTACCTTTTCAAAAATTTTAGAAAAAATAGAGGTTAGGGCTATTGGCCTATAGTTATTTTTAT